CTGAGTGAAAACCTTGCAGTCCTTGGGGATCACACCAGCAGCAGGAAACCTGCAGTGCTCTGGGTGGTATTGGGGTTTGAAACAGAGCTGGATTTTTCCCTACTGTCTTAAAAATTACACACAGCCCCAGCACTTTGAATATGTAAGTGATGACCACACTGCCCCAGCAGATGCCTGGGACTTAGCTGGTAATGCAGATGGCTTTTGCCACGGTCTTTTTCATGGAATTATGGAATCACTGAGCTTGGAAAAGACCTCTGTGATCATCAAGTCCAACCATTAACCCAGCACTGCCAAGCCCACTACTGACCCATGTTCCTAAGCACCACATCCATGTGTTAATTCCCATTAACTGTCCAAGATGCACTGCAGGAGATTGGAAAAACTGGACAAAAACAGCAAAAGGGAATTGTCCTTTTACCCAGTTACTTTTGTTGTTGTGGGTATATTATAGATTGGATACACGTTGGACCTGTTGCCTTTAATCCCATTAATTTGTGATCTCAGCTGCTTGGTGTGGGAGTCTGAACTGCTCCATTAGAAGGAGTGTGTTAAATGGGATGAATTAGCCAGCTTTTAATACAGCTTCTCACCTGCTTTGTGCTGCCTGGCAGCCCGTGGGGGTCTCTTCTCCTAGCCAGCCACTGTTTCCAGTCCATCTTAGCCCTTGGCCCCTTGCAGACCTGGCTGCAGCAGGCTGGGGGATCCATGGCTGTCACAGACATATTTTCATTAAAAATCCTTTCCTTAGGATTTTTTCCTTCTGAGAAGCTGAGAGGCCTCAGGAACAAATGTAAACACTGATTATCTGCTGCTGTGGAATGCAACAGGTGGATCTGTGATTGGTCTCATGTGGATGTTTGGAATTAATGGTCAATCACGGCACAGCTGGCTCTCTCTCTGTCCGAGCCACAAACCTTTGTTATTCATTCTTTTCTATTCTTAGCTGGCCTTCTGATGAGAACTTTTTCTTCTATTCTTTTAGTGAAGTTTTAATGTAGTATATATCATAAAATAATAAATGAAGCCTTCTGAAATACGGAGTCAACATTCTCGTCCCTTCCCTCATTTGAAAACCCCTGTGAACATGGTCACACATGGCTCCAGGTGGGATTCCAGAGGGTGTCATCTCCCCATCTTGTCTCAAGCAAGGGGCTGTTTCAGGAGTGACCCCCTCCCTCACGTGGGGTTTCCTGTGTTGTAAGTCAGCTGGGATATGGTTAAAATGTTGGGGTTTTCCCTTCCAAGTCAAAAAGTGTCGGGGGATACACTATGGGTGAATGAAGGTGGTATAGAATGCAATCTTATCCCCCGACGAGTTGTAGCTGGACCAATTACTAAAGATTAGGAGCAGGCCTGATGTTAACAGGTCACAGCTGTAGCAAGTAAGAACAGTGGTATAAAAGAGTGGATTGGTGGGATCTGGAGTCAGATGATGATTACTGCAAGGACCAGGAACAGTCAGTGCTGAGAGGAGCTGCATACAAGAAACGTCGCGGAGTTACGAAACTCTGGTGGTATGGAACCCTTTCACCATGATGATAATAGAACTCTTGATATGTAAGACAACAAAAAAGTGACTGGGAATAGCCTCTGTACCCTTGGTGGTTGCATGGGCCTGGAGTCCTCTGCTTGGGATTGCTCCTAATCCCGATGGTTCTTGGCAGTTTGAGTGAGGATGAGTTCAGAGACCTGTTTAGAGGAGGAGAGCCACAGGAACAGCAGGGCCCCCTGGCTGTGAGCACCACCTGCTCCACACCACCAGCACTTTGGGGGCACACAACATCTCTTCGAGTTTTCCTGCCCTCTCTCCATGCTCCAGACCTTCTCCCCAGGTCAGGTGTGTCCCATGGGAGACAGATTCTGGAGGATTTTTGAGCTCAGCTGTGCAGAAATGGACTGCTCTGTGCTTGAGAAAAGGGGAAGTGAGCACCTTTGGTGGGAGATTAAAAGCCCCTTCCTGAGATCAGTGGGAGAGGTGAAGAAATTTTGCTGGAAAGCCCAAAATGGGTATTCCCTGCTGGATTCTGAAAGCCACAGCAGCTCTCCCCAGCTTTCCCTGCAGATGCTGCTGGTGTACACTGGGAGAGAGCTGGAGGCCAGATGCTCTCAGGATGTGCATGCTCTCAAAAAGTTCTGTGCCCTTTTGGAGCTTTATTTTGGGAGAACTTGTTTCTTTTTGAAATCGCCTGCCTCATTTCAATGCTTTAGAGAGGAGTGAGCCCTTCAAAAGAAATCAAATTTTAAATGAGAATCGATGTTTCATTTTGAAACTATTAGGCTCCATGAAGTGCAAATTGAAGCCACGTGGTCCAGATGGGATTTTTTCCCTTGGGGATCACATGGCAATCACACTTTTTGCTTGGTGTCTCCAAGCAAAGATTCTGTTGAATCTCATCTTGCCCAGAGGTCTCACATGCCCTGAGCAGGCAGGTCTGACAGCACAGGATGGAAAAGAGCAGAGGCTGTGGCTGATGGACAAGGTGGGGATGCTGCCTGAGCATCTCCAAGGAGTGCTGAAGGTCAGAGGGAGCAGGAAGCGTCCCAGCTCTGGCAGCCATGGAGATGAGGGCTGACTCTGCTCCAGAGCACCCTCTGCACTGCAGTTTGTGTCACCTTGTGCAAGACCTGCAGCTGGATACCCTCACCCTGCTGCATCCATGCCCTGCATGATGAAACCTCCATGGGTGGGTGCTTGTTGGCACTCAGGCTCCAGGAGTGAATACATCCCAGCGATGCTTTCATTTCAAATTAGTTTTGAATTCAAACGTGCCAATCCATTTTTTTTTTCTGCAGAGCAAAGTGTCCCAGATCAGCAGTTGCATGTGAAACTTCTTTAGATTCCAAATTGTTTTGGTTTTGGTTACCAGAGAAGAAACCAAACAAACATTTAAAGCATTTCAGTGTTGTAGTGAGAGTTTCTGCCATGGAGAAAACTAAATGTATGGATGGTTTGAGGTGCCTCCTCATATCCAGAATTCACAGGATATTTTCCCTTTGGATCCAGCACCACCTGACACCCAGGGCTGAGCTGGGCAGGCAGTGCTCTCTGTTGGGATGTGAATTACATAGGGTATCAGACCTCAGGGAGCTGCACAAGCTGCTGGTGGTGGCAGGGGTGGGGTGGTTCCTACACAGGAGCAGGAGCTGCTTTGAGCCTTTCTGTGATTTTCTCTTTTTTTTTTTTTTTTTTTTTTGGTGTGTGAGCTGGTGCAAAAACATGCCTTGAAAATCATCCTTTTGCTGGTTTGAGGTTTTTTTTTCAGTAATAATCAGCAGATAAAGGATCGTGCTGGAGATGTCCCTGGGAGCCTTTGTGCTCATTCCTGTTCCCTGAAGAGCTGGTTCTGTGGGAGTCCTGTGGTGCTCCAGGTCCCACAAACAGGGCAGCAGGATGGCTGCACCCAGGGGTGTTACCTTGAAGGCATCCAGTGCTGAAGCATGAGGCAGCTCCTGAATTGTCACAGCTCAGGACATCCCTCTGGCTGTCCTGAGCAGCCAAGACTCCTGCCAGGGGTCTCAGAGCCCAAAATGCTTGTGGTTTTGATTATGACTTGTGGAGCAAATTACTAACTTTGTATGAAGATCAGCAAGCCACAACAGTTTAAGTAGAATGTTAGTGAAGTTATCACGGAGTGGAAAAGTAGATTTTAGGGTTTTAGGTATGGGAGTTCAAGAAGCAAGATGGAGGGATCTGGGTGTGTCCAGCCTTTCTCCTTCTTCTTCTTGGCCTCCATCTTCTGCTGTGATGTTAGAGTTTGGTTTCGAGTAGAAGCAAGGAGTTGCTGCCATGAGCTCCCCAGGCTGATTCAGTGTCGGGATCTCTCACTGCTCACAGTGACCTTGAGAAAAGTTGGAAAGTCTCTTTTCCCAGCCTGGCACTTGAAGAAGGAGTCAGGGCTCTTCGTTTCTCGGTCTCAAGGTTGTTTATTGTATCTTATCTATAAAAAATTTTCTTCTCCCCTGCCGAGGTCCACTCAGCAAGACAGTCTGATGCACTCTGCCTGCCCCAGGGCGGTGTTGTCTTTTTATACTAAAAACAACTACATGTACAATATTTACAATTACTTTCCAATGCCTATCACCTATGTTAGACAGTGAGCTTCTACTCTAAACCAATCTAAAAGTGCCAACATCACAGCAGAAGATGGAGGCCAAGAAGAAGAAGGAGAAAGTCTGGACATGCTCAGTTCCCTCCATCTTGCCTCCTGAACCCCCATACCAAAAACCCTAAAATCTACTTTTCCACGCCATGATAACTTCACTAAGATTCTACCTAAACTGTCGTGGCTTGCTGATCTTCATACAAGGTTGGTAATTTGCTCCACGGGTCATAATCAAAACCACAGGAATTTTGGGCTTTGTGCCAGGGTCTCCGAGACCCCTGGCAGGAGTCTGGGTTGCTCAGGACAGCCAGAGATGTTCTGGCTCTTGACATTCTCCAGCCTGGGCAGCCCAGAAGCTGGGCATGGCTCTGTGAGTGGGCTCTGTGCCAGTTCCCAGTGATGGTCACTCTTCCACCCAGCAGCTGTATGAGCAGCCCTGGGGTGGGGAGGAGGAGCGGGAAGCTCCTGGCTTGCCTCTTCTGTCGCAGACATATTTCATGAAAAATCCTCTCTTTAGGATTTTTTCCTCCTGAGAAGCCTCAGGAACAAAATGTAAACAATGGTTATCTGCTGCTGTGGAATGCAACAGGTGGATCTTTGATTGGCCCATGTTGGTTGTTTCTAATTAATGGCCAATCACAGCCCAGCTGGCTCGGACAGAGTCCAAGCCACAAGCTTTTGTTATCATTCCTTTCTATTCTATTCTTAGCTGCCTTCTGATGAAATCCTTTCTTCTATTTTTTTAGTATAGTTTTAATGTAATATATATCATAAAATAATAAATCAAGCCTTCTGAAACATGGAGTCAGACCCTCATCTCTTCCTGTCATCCTCAGACCGCTGTGAACACGGTCACACCTATTCCACAGTGATTTCTTGCCTTCTCACTTGCAGCCACAGCTTCAAACGTTGGCAACTTCGTGGATCAGCCCAGACCTCCAGGAGGGGACAGATGGACAGAGCTGCAGGGTGACAGGGAGCTGTTCCCTGAGGGAGAGCTGCTGCTCCAGGTATGGCTTGGTCATTTGGGGTCTGCCCAAACTGCTCTGGAGCTTTTTGTGGAGTGGGAAGAGACCCTGCCTTGCCCAGAGCTGCTTCACTGTGATTCCTGCAGGCACTGAGTTCCTGGGGACAGAGATCAGTGGCACTGCCTGGCTGGGATGGGTCCAGATCCCCATTCCCAATGTTTCCTCTCATCCCACTGCAATTTGCTGCCCCTTTGATTGTGTTACATCTCATGGACACGAGCTCCATCCCAGCCAGGAGGTTCCAGGGATGTCATGTGGTGGTGTGAGGATGGATCCCTGAGTAGTTCCCAAGGTGCTGGGTTGGTTCATTATCTTTAGCAAAGGGCAAGAGGAGAATGTTGAGAGTGTGGGACAAAACATCCCCCAGGAACTCCTTGCCCTGCCTGGGGCATTGTGTGAGCTCTGTAGGGATGAGTCTGGCCAAGACCTTCAATCATTCCATGCTCTTGCCATCTCCTGTGCCTGGGCTCTCGCAGAATCCCAGAATGGTTTGGGTGGGAAGGGACCTCAAAGCTCATCTTGTGATGAGCTGCCATGGGCAGGGACACCTTCCACCATCCCAGGCTGCTCCAAGCCCCATCCAGCCTGGCCTTGGGCACTTCCAGGGATCTAGGGGCAGCCACAGCTGCTCTGGACACCCTGTGCCACCCTCAACTCTCCTGTAGGCTTTCTGGGCCTTCAGTCCTCTTCTCCCACCTCTCCAAACACTGGCAGATGGATGCTTGGCTCTCTTTAAGCCTGGCTTTGGTCGCTTCAGCCCTGCTCCTGCAGGACTCTGCCTTCCAGGCAGCAGGCAGTGTGAGCAGACCCCCAGCAGGAGCCTCCATGTGGGGTTTTGGCGAGGCAGTGACTCCTGGGAGCTCGGTGTGACTTCTGGCAGTGAATCCTGCACCACACGAGGTCCCCCAGGGTCCCAGCTGTGTGTGAGTGTGATGGTCACAGAGGAACAGCTGGATCCCAGCAGGGAGCGCGTGGCTGCCCCAGCCTGGAGCTGCTCCTGAGCACTCCCCAGGGCTTTGGGTTTGGACCATTTGATGGCAATTTGTTGAGCCATCAACATCAGAGCATTGGCAGGCTGGGGTGATTGAAGGCATCTGGAGAGCTTATGAGATGTTACTGTGACAGAAATCCCCCTGCTGAGCTGTCTGGTGGCTGTTTTTTCCTCCCTACGAAGATGATTTTAAGCATATATTGTGATTTGCAGAAATCTCTGGCTTGGGGTCCTTCAGGGGGCTGTAGCACACAAAGGGAAGGGACTAGTCCCTCAGCAAGCTGGATCTGTATGCTAGGTTTCCATTTAGGGTGTTCTTTCCCTAATTTCTCTCCTTCCATTCACTAATAAATTAAATATATCACAGTCAAGAACAGGAGGTATGAGTTACTATCTAGTGCAGTGCTTTGCTTTTGAGGGAAATCAGCCTGAAATGGTCACCAGAATCATAGAATATCCAGAGCTGGAAGGGACCCACGAGGATGATCATGTCCAAAGCACAGCCCTAGGAGAGTGTAGCTATTCCCAGATGGAAAGGAGGACTCCAGATCCTCCACGGAACCTCTCCTCAGCTGGTCCCTCCTGATGCAGGAGCTGCCCTGCAGTGACAGGGGGTTCCATGGGGGGTTTGGAGAAAGTGGTCAGTCCAGCTTGGATCATTGCTTGTGCTGAGAACAAGAAACTCCACTGAACTGGACCTTGCATGGCTACCAAGTGCTGTCTCTCTTTGTGGGGTTCCTTGTTGGGGAAGAAGGATGCTGAAGGAACATCCAACAAGCTGGGAGGATTTCATGGTTCAGCAGCTGGATGGAAGCTGGGCAGAGTAAGTTTGGACTGAACTTTTGCTTTCAGGCACTCAATGGATTTGTCATTGCCGTGACTGGGGACGGATACATCTTCTACATCTCCCCCACCGTGCAGGACTACCTGGGCTTCCACCAGGTGAGCACCGTGTTCTCCTGGCTGGAAACAGATGGATGCAGTCCTGGTGTGGGAAGGAGGTGCAGATGGAAAGCAAAGCTTCCCAAAGGCCACCAGCTCCTGTGGCAGGGGAAGGAGCTGGAGTTTGCCTGTTCTTCACACTCAATCCTGCACTTTTAGTACTCAGGAAGGGAAACCTTCTGCCCTGTCCTCCTCCTGACACGTCTGCCAGGCTGTCCAGGAGCAGACGCTGTTCTGTTTTGTCATTCCAGTCGGATCTCATCTACCAGAGCGTGTACGAGCTGATCCATGCAGACGACAGGGCCGCCTTCCGCCGCCAGCTGCACGGGCCCCCGGTGCATGCTGCTGACAGTGAGTGCCAGGCTGATCCTGCAGCAGGATCACTCGAGCACCTCTGATCCAGGAGCTCAGGCTGTGCAGCACAACTTGGAAAACTTCCTGTTGCCTTTTCTTTTCCAGCTTTTCCCCCTGAGCAGCCGCTGCTTGCCGGCTCGCAGCGCCTCCGTGCTGAGAAGCAATCCTTTGTGGAGAGGAGCTTCACCTGCCGCTTCCGCTGCCTGCTGGATAACTCCTCGGGATTCCTGGTAATGCTGGGACACCCCTCTGCTCCTCCTGTGCCCGCAGAGCCTCTTGTGTCCTATAGGGATGAGAGCACAGCCAGTTCCCACCACCCTGTTTGCTTCACACCCATGTTTTCTAATCCATGTAAGGCCTTGAATTTCCGTGGGCGCCTGAAGTTCCTTCTTGGGCAGCAAAAGTCAGCAGCAGACAAGTCCCCAGTTGCTCTCTTTGCCATTGCCACACTCCTCCAGCCTCTCTCCATCCTGGAGCTCCAGACCAAAACGCTGTTCTTTCAGACAAAGCACAAGCTGGACTTCACTCCCATGGCCTGTGATTCCCGGTAAGGCATCTCACACTTTCCCTGTGGCAAAATCCTGGTGCTGGACAGAAAACTAGACCTGGTGGGGATGAGGAACACCTGACCCAGCTGCCATTGCCTGATGTATTTGTCCCTCTACTGCAGGCCCCCAGTAACACGGGGGGAGCAGGTTAACTGGGCACCAGCACTTCTTGTCTGCTGTGGTTTGGGTGCTTTGTGGAACAGGGGATGCAGCTCAGCCCAGGGTGGAGCATTGCCCCACCAAAAGTGGGGTCTGGCCAGTGGGGTGCAGCTGTGGGGGATGCATCCCTGGTGTCGCTACATTGCTGTGCTGTCTCCAGGGGGAAGGTTGTCCTGGGATACACGGAGGTGGAGCTGTGCAGGAGGGGGTCCGGATACCAGTTTGTGCACGCGGCCGACATGATGCACTGCGCAGAGCACCACGTGAGAAGTGAGTGCTGGGGGGGTGTTTGTGGGGTGCCTCAAGGCTCTGGCCTGGGTGTATAATTGCTCCTTGGTGCTGTCTGTCCTGGGGCTGGAGCAGCTGTGACAAAGGCTCTTCCTCCTGGATGAGCTCAGGGAGTTGGCAGAGAGACAGCATGCTGCATCTCCTGCCCCTGTAGCACGGCCATGAGGCAATACCCAACCTCGTGGCATCTTGCACGTGTCATTTGTCTGCCCCCATGGAGGATCTGTGTCTGTGGCACTTCTTTTGTGTCCCTGCCCCAGTGATGAAGACGGGCGAGAGTGGGCTGACGGTGTTCCGGCTGCTGACCAAGAGGGGCAGCTGGGTGTGGGTGCAGGCCAACGCACGGCTGGTCTACAAAGGGGACAGGCCCGACTGCATCATCGCCCGCCAGCGAGCCCTGTCGTGAGTATTGCTGTTCCCCTTCAGCTGCTCTGGGCCTGGGGGGCTGCCCGAGGCATGAAGAGGCCGTGGAGGTGGAGGGAAGGGGAGGTGAGGTTGGCACTTTGCAGCGTTTGTCCTCCTGAGCGATGCAGACCCCTCTGTGGGCTCCCCAGAGCCCTCTTGTAGCCAGCCCAATCCAGCCCCCTTTTCCTCTAGAAAAGCCAGAGCAGGGCTGTGAGTTCTCCACCCCCTTGCTGTTAGAAGGGTGGTTTTGCCTGGCCTGGAGGAGCTGCTCATGCTGTTTCTCCATCCCTTTTTGCCTCCACGCCGAAGGAATGAAGAAGGCGAGGAACATCTCCACAAGAGAAACCTGCAGCTGCCTTTCAGCTTTGCCACGGGGGAAGCAGTCTTGTATGGGAATGCCCTTCCTGGGTTCTTGGACTCGTTCCAAGCCAAGGAGGAGCTGCAGGTGCAAGCAAACTCCAACTCAGAGCAGCGCTTGGTAGACCCCAACTCTCTCCTTGGGGCCATGATGAAGCAGGATGCATCCATATACAATTCCCACATGGATAACGTGCCTCAGTTCTCCTTGCCAGGTTTCATCCCTGAGCCTGATGGGCTGACCCAGAATGAGGACACCAGCAGTGCCAAGGAGGAGAGCAACTCCCTCCTGGTGGTCATTGAAACCCTCTTTGAGAAGAGTGAGGTGGATGGAAACGCCTGCCAGAGCCTGAACGCGGGCAGCACGGAGCTGCAGCAGTGGGAGGAGGCTGTGCTCAGCCTGGGGGCACAGGAGGAGCCACCAGCTCAGGGGCTTGGCACCAAGGTGCCATCCTGTGTGGGGCAGGTGCTCCTCAGGGAGGGTGCTGGAAAGAGCCTGGAGTTCCAATGCTGCCATGAGGAAAGCAGTGCTGTGGCTCACTTCCAGCGCTGCTGGGCAGCTGGCTCAGCATTCCCAGCAGAGCCCCAGGCAGCGGGCACATGGGGAGGCCAGGGGGCTCTGAGCTCCATGGGCTCTGCTCTCTCTGAGGGCAGCTTTGCCCAGCCAGAGCAGCAGGTCCTGTTCAACCCAGCCAGGCTGGTGGCAGGGACTGCGCTGGGTGTCCCCATGTCCAGCAGCAAATCCTCTGCAGCACTTCAGCTGGCAGACCAAGCCCTTCAGGCAGAAGCCACCCTCTCTGCTCCTCTAGATAACACTCTTCCTGCTGCTCAGAGCCAGCCTGGGTGCCAGCTGGTGGGCTCAAACACCTTGGGGACTCTGTGCCACAGTGTCCCTCTCCAGGCAAACCCAGCCAGTTGCCCATCAGAGGCTTCACTGGCTGTAGCTCCAAAACAGCTGGAAGCTGCAGGAGCATACCTGGAGTCCCAGACTCTGCCAGGTGGCAGCCCTGAGAATCCCCCAGGGGCTGGGCTGTGGCTGCCAATCCCCTCCCAGTCTTTTCCTTGCCCTGCCCAGGGCTTGCATGAGTCCCTGTTCGCTGGGGATGGGAAGCTCTGTGATGTGGAGGTTGCTCTCCCTGCCCCCTTAGGAGCCAGGCAGCTGCCAGGGCATGGTGGCTTCCCCAAACAGCCCCTGGCAGGCCATGCAGAGCCCAGCTTTTCCTGGGAGGGGGAGCAGGCAGTGCCCCGAGAGGAGAAGTGGTTCTCACAGCCTTGGCTCCTGCAGGCTGGGGCAGCTCCAGTGCACCACAGCGGGCTCCAGCCAGGCTCCAGCACGGATCCCAGTGCCCACCAGATGGACTGCATTGTGCTGTCCGAGTGCCAGTATGGAAACAGCCTTTTCAGGCATGACAGCACCTTCCTGAGGGATGCTGCTCAAACACCCCTTCCCCAGCAGCCAGGTGCTTTGCCTTGCCCTGCTGAGACCTGCCCTGGAGCACCCTGCTCCTCACCAGGCTCAGTTCCAAGGTGCTCAGCAGCTCTCCCTGTGAAGGTGGGTGCAGGAGCCCCCCTGTGCTCCGGGCAGGGCCCTGGCTGCCCATCAGTTCCCCTCTCAGCTGGGCAGCCCCTCTGTGCCTGTGAGATCCAGCTCAAGGTGAGGTGTGAGGGCTGCAGGACCTGAGGAGGGAGCAAGGGGTCTGCCAGGGGTGCAGCCACGCCATCCTTTGTGAGCAGCCTGGTTTGGAGCTCACTGTGAACCGGGAGCCCTGTCTTGGAAAGCCACCAGCAGCTGTGAGCTCTTCTTGTACCTGCCTGTGGTGCCTCTGGTATCTCAGGATTTTGTCTTTCAGTGCTGTCAGGCAGTCTAAGATTGAGTGGTTTGTTCCATGAGGAGTCTTTCAGGGAGATGCCGCTGTGCCAGGGGCAGCCTCTTGCGGATGGAGCTGCTGCCTCACAGGCAGGTAGCACTGAACTGCTGTTTCACAACAAAACAGTGTGGTCTCCTCATCTCCTGTGTTGGACCACCCTTGACATGCTGCTGTTTAGTCCCCTGCATCATCTCTGCCAGCCTGAGCCTCTTTTCCTCCTGTGCTCTCCATCTCCTCCAGAGACCCTTCCGAATCCTTTGGAAAAGATGTTACCAAGCACTTCAAGAAGCTCAGCAGCACTGAAGGGTCTTGGTGGGAGGTGGAGTTGGTGGGAGTGGAGGCAGCTTGGGGATTTGGGCTCTCCAGCAGCCTCCCAGGGGAATTTGGGGGAGGTGGGTACCAGGCCATTGTAACCTCTCTGGGATGCAGGGTGGGGAAGGTCCAGCCAAGCTCCGCTTGGATTTATCACTGGCTTGTCCTTGTCATCCTCTTCTCTGCTTCACGGTGCTGTGGGACAGAGAAGGGTGGGGGTTCCCCCTGTGGTTTTGTCAAAGCAGTGAGAAGGAAAGGCAGGAAGGGATGCAGTGACCACTGGCTGCCTCTCCACTTCAGACCCACTTGATGCCCCTCAAACCATTTTTTCTGCAGCCCAGAACAACCACTTTGTTGAACTCTCTTCCTTTTCTATATATATAACCTAAAATGTGAATGAATTGTTTTTTTCCCCACCATGAGTGCAAAGTCTTGTAGATCCATCAGGGAAACCCACAAAAAAAAAGCAATGACTGGGGAGGGTGGGGATGATTTGAGACCACAATGACTTGCGGCATTGGGTCAGAGAGACCAGAGTGCTGGGGGACATTCACACCTTCCCCTCATGCACCCTGAATATCACATCTGCCTGGCACACCAGTGTTAAGCATTTAGGGATCAAATTAAATCAGGCAATTAGTGCAGGGCCAGCAGCAAGCCCACATGTCCTGGTGTAGAGTGGCCTCATCTCCCTGGGTCTCTTCCTTCATGCCCAGCTTTGCCTCTGTTCATGGGGCCTGGGAAAGGTCAAGTTCCTCTCTGCAGGCTGGGAGCAGAGCAATGCTGAAACGTGCTGGACCACTCTGAGGTGGCTTCAAGGAGCACCTTGGCCGGGCAAGGAGTTGACTGGCCATGACCCAGATCCAAAAAGCAGCAGGATGGACTCTGCTCACCAGCCTCTGTTGTTCTGGCACTGGGGAGATGGTTTTGGGGGCATACCAGAGGCTCCCAATGATGCCAGTGATGGGCCTTGGGGTGGGGCACTGCTGCTTGGGGCCGTGACAGTCTCCCCCTGTGCTCTGATCTCTCTGTACCTCGTGGCTGTACAGATAAAGTCTGTTCTGGTGGCAGCGTCTCATTTTCTGCTCTGTGATTTCTTTGTGCTGCTGGTGGCAGCTGGAAGGTGCTGAGGAGAAAAGAGCTGTCCGTAGCCTGTGTTTGGTGATGGATTAAAGGGTGATTTGCTTCGTGCTGATGTTTGTTTTGACCTGAAACTGTGAGAAATGACTGCTCACTTCGAAAATTTAAAAAGGTTTATTAAACCTTGACAAAAATACAGCAAAGGACTACATAAGGGAAAATTTGCAGTGCTGGGAACTGCCCTTCGTCCATACCATGTGGCCGGTTCATCTTCAAGATGGGTGCTGAATCTTTTATACCCCTGAGGGTTGCATCAGCCAGCCCTGGCCCCACCCAAAGTCTGTCAGTCAGCTCTTCTTTGCCATTTATCAGTGCAGACTGCTTTATAACTGGATTGGGGGTCAGGTGTTGTCATGCTGCACCCCCTAAGCACCAAGCTTTTCCATTCCCCACTGCCCCATGCAAGGGACACATGTGCAGCTTCTTTGTACCTGTCCCAGACAGCCCAGGCTGTCTGATGGCAACAATACAGGGGGGAATGGGAACTGTGGGGAGAACAGAGGGCATCTAAACCACAATAACATAGTTACACATCACTAAAGCCTTTCTGAATATTCACACAATAGTTATCCCTTTACTGCGAGAGCCAATCATCTCATGATCCATCTATAGCAAAACCATGTCTCTCCATTTCTTCCTTGACTGAGCAAGTGCTGGGAAAAGCCCAAGCACACACCTGGTGCTGGGTGTGTGACACTCTCGTTGTCACTGTCCCCAGCTACTGTGGGCATGCATGGCAGCAGAGGTGTGACAGTGTCCCCCCTTTGCACCCCCAAACTGCCCTGTGGGGTTGTGGGACTCACAGGCAGGGTTACTCTCAGCATTGACACACGTGGTTTTAAATATCCGACTATGAAAAATTATTAGAGAGATGCCTCTGCCCAAAATAAGGTGTAAACGACACCATATATGAATGCCAATAGCATGGATTTTTATTTAACAGCAAACATGAGGGTGGGGAGAGAGAGGGAAAAGATTATAGGGTGGAGAGAAAGTGACTGCAGACTACACACATCGAGTGGTGAAGGGAAGGAGTCCAACACACATCATATCCATGGGGTTTATAATCTGCTGAGGCCAGGTGGGAACATCTCCCTGGGGCGGGGAGTTTCACACTGGATAATAATGTGGATCACGGGACACCTGGGGACTCTTTACACCTTTTGAGATGTTGCAGCTGTCTACAAGTGAGAGTAGTTAAATTAATTATGGCCCATCAGTCGGGATGGGCACCTTCAGCTTGTGTGTGAGTGTCCCCGGACTTAGGAACAGGAGTTCTCACAGCTGAGCCATGACGTGAGGGAGAACACTGGCATGATAAAGCCTTACTGCACATCGGAGGATTTGCCTCTTATCAGCCTCTTCCCTTACCCGCAAGCCTCAGGTGTGCGCCCTTCTGCACCTGGCAGAGCACCAGGGGGATTGTTCGAGCCATCGGCACCCACGGCCCGGTCCGCACCTCTCCTCAGCGCCACAAATCCCCACCTACAGCCTGCAATAATCCGCTTCACCATCCCCTCCCACAGCCCCTTCACGCCCCAAATCCTCCTTCAGCCCCCT